GCAACCTCCAATTCTTGGGCTTAAGTGATTCTGTTGCCTCAGCCTCCCAAGTAGCTGGGACTACAAAGGCACCCACAACACCCAGCTATTTTTTTGTTTGTTTTTGTTTTTTTTGTTGTCATTGTTGTTTAGCAGGCCTGGGCCGGGTTTGAACCCACCAACCCTGGTATACATGGCTGGCACACTAACCACTGGGCAATGGGTGCCAAGCCCTAACTGTCTGGTCTTGATTTTGTCTTTCCAGTGACCTTCCACCTTCTAAAGAGCAGTCCATATTAGCATACAAAAGATAACACTTCAGGGATTCTAAGGATTTTATAAATTGCTCGGGACAAAACCAAGTATATATTTTATGATACCACAGTGTTACAATTTTTACTTCAGGCATTATACAGAATTTATAAGTTTCAGGAGGAAAAGGAAAACCTATTGTATTTACCCATATTTTTACTTTTATTGTTTCATGGTTAAAAATCTTCCTTTAGCCATTCTTTTAGGGTAGGTCTTTTAGGGTAGGTGTGATAGATTCTCAATCTTCCTTTATTTGAGAACGTTCTGATTCCCTTCATAAGTGTCCCTTCCTGTAGCAGCTGTAAAATACTGTGCCCCTTCCTCTGGTTGTTTTGATGAGCAGTTCCCTGTCACTCTCATTGTTTCCCTCTGTAGATAAGGTGTCATTTTCCTCTCGCTGCTTTCAGTATTTTTTCTTAGTTGATAGTTTTCAAAAGTTTAATTACAGTGTGTCTTGGCCTGGATTTCTGTGACTTCATCCCATTTTGGTTTGCTGAACATCTTGATTCTGTTGGCCTATGTCTCGCCAATATCGGAAAGTTTCCAGCTTTATTCCTTTGAATACTTTTTTATCTGTTCCCTTTTCCTTTCTTTACTGACCTCCAGTGACACAAATTGTCAGGAGTCTCTTGAGACCCTCCAGCTGTCCAGTTGACCTGGTCCAGCCACTCAGCAGAACTAGCAGGTTCAGTCGAGTTAGATGCAAGTAAGATAAAAGGGAGAAGAAGTAAAGCAGCCAGGACGCCAATACAGCAAAAAGAGCAGCACGGTTCACTGGAAATGAAGCATAGACTCTCCCAGAGAGCTTGGGAAAGGGTCCACCTCACGAGTGAGAGGAGGCCCCAACTCAAAGGCAGTACACCACTATAAATACGTCATCCTAACTCACAGGTGCCCCCTTTCCTTTCCGTCTCAGAGTAATTGAATTGCTCCCGCTGCCGTCCAGGCACTGTGTGGTGGTGCCTAGTCGTCTGGTGACGTTGGGGCCCTCCTGTGGGCACTGTTCTATGACCTGTGACCATTATTTTACCTTATTACCGTACTTTATGACCTTAAACTACATTTTATTTTAAAAATGATAGTTGGGTGGCGCCTGTGGCTCAATGAGTAGGGCGCCAGTCCCACATACCGGAGGTAGGGGGTTCAAACCCGGCCCTGGCCAAAAAAAAACCAAAAATTGCAAAAAAGAAAAATATTAAAAAAAAAAAAAGATAGTTAATCAACTGAGTCACAAAGCTCTAAGGTCTTTTCTTTTAACTTTTTAGTTTGAAGGGTCAGAAAAAAGCCAGACTTTCCCCTACTTCCCTGTAGCCCTCTTTTATCCCTCATCAACACATTAGCTCTTTTGCGGTGGCGGAGGTTCTTGAGGCCCCAGTCGGTGTTTCAGTGGGTGTTTCCTTTCCTTTGTCCAGTTGAGTGGTTTTCAGTAGTTATCTTCTCGTTTATTCGGTTTACTCATCTCTATTCCCTTTCTACATTGAACCTATCTCTGAGCAAATAAACAAAAAATTTGTTACTCTATTTTTCAGCTCTAAAATTTCCATCTGGTTCTCCATGTCTTTGTATTTTTTTCGAGGCTTTCTCTTTTTCTTATGTTTTAAACGTGTTCATAATTGCTCACTGAAGCATGTTGTCATGACTGTTTAAAATCTTGTTAGGTGGCTCGG